CTTCCCCCTCCTGGTCCCCCTCCGAACTGGAGATTGAACGCAGACCCTTGGGCTTGCCAGGGAAGCGCTTATTCTACTGAGCCATCTCCGCAGCCCCCAAGGGTTTGTTTCCATCTTTTCCTTATTTTTGTTTTTCTTTCCTTCCCACCTATCCCTTCCTAGTTCCCCTTCCTATTTGAACAGTTTTTTCCCATTTCAGATTATCTGTTACACACTTTTAACTCCGCCATCTTGTCAAATCCAAAGTTGGAGGTTTCTGGTCTCAGCTTTCCTGATTTCTCAGTAACAGTTGTTACAGAAACTGTAGACTGTCTCTCAGCTCTGTGATACACTCCTTAGTTTTGTATATTTGTCGAAGATGACATCTTACTGTCAGTCATGCTTTTCTTGGCTTGGTATTTATTTTGTTTGCTTGAGGCAGGGTCTCACTATGCAGTTCAGGCTGGCCTTGAGATCACTTTGTAGCCCAGGCTGGCCTTGAACTCACAACCGCCTTAAGCCTCTTAAGCACTGGGATTACAGGCATGTGCCACCACACCCAGCATTTTGTTTGGTGTTTAGCTCCCCCCCCCCCCACTATACCGGACTTCCCAGGCAGGCACTTACTCTACTGAGCTGTGTCTCCAGGCCTTTGCTTGGTGTTTAGATTCAGGTGTCTGGAGCTCAGCCTTGGATCTTTCTCTACACTTTTTTGGTCATGGTACTCACCCATATGCATATCGTTTCCCACAGTATACTTCTTTCTCTTAACCTTTTTTGTTTGGTTTTTCTTTTTGCCTTTTTCAGACAGGGTCTTGCTGTGCAATTCAAATTGGCCTTCAGTGCACTTGGTAGCCCAGGCTGGCGCCAAACTTGCAGCAGCCCTCTTGCCTCAGCCTTCTGAGTGCTGGGATTACAGGTGTGTGCCACCCACCTGGCTTTCTGTTGTCATCTGTTGGCTTCCTTAGACCTAAAATCCAGCCCAATTCCTTATCTCTATAACCGTCAGCATTAGGATGTATATACGTATGTATACATATGTTAGGATATATATATATATGTATATATACATATACATATACATGGTTATATATGTATATATATATTAGGATATATATGTATATATGTGTAACAGACAAAAAGCAACATAAAATAATAGCACAATTTCAAAACAATAGAAAATGAATAGTGGTTGTTATATGACATCAAATTTGTGGCTCAGATTATTAGATATAGGCATGCAAGATTGTTTAAACAGTGAAACATTACTTCCTTTCAGTAAACCTTAATTTTTTCCTTGTCCTTTTTATTTTTTATTTTATTTATTTTTATTTTTGTGGAACAGGGGCTTGAACTTCAGATCTTATGCTGCTGAAGTATCTCCCTAGCCCCCACTTTTTATTTTTTGAATTATTTTAAAGAGTGTAAAAATGATAGATAAGACATTAGAGACAGTACATGTTTAACAAGATGAAAGGTATTCAACCATGGTTGGTATATTGTACATTGCTGTCTTCAGTGTAGTTGCTTAGATACAGATATTAGCATATAAAATTGGTCCAAAGTAAAAATTTTAAACATTACCTGCTACCTTCAAAAGACAGAAATTAGTTGTAAAATCATGTTAGTTATTCTGTATGTATACTTACATGAATTTTTCCCCTTTTTTTCCTATCTTTTCTCCTTTCCTTCATCTCAGTTGTTTATTTCTTATGTTCAGTTTCTTTCAGGTCTACTGTAGTTAATGTACCTTTCAGCTTTTACTTATTTTTTTAGATTCTAAGGAGGGAGACAATACAGTGTTTACACATGTGGGTATGATTCATTTACAGGTAGCACCTCTAGTTACATCTATTTGCCTATAAAAGACTCAAGTTTATCTTTCTTTTTTTTTTTTCTTTTGGTGGAACCGGGGATTGAACTCAGGCCCTTGTACTTGCCAGGCAAGTGCTTATTCCACTGAGCCATCTCCCTAGCCCAAGTTTTTCTTTATAGCTGAGTAATACTTAAATCCAAAAATGGGCATTTGAGAGAGGATTATACAGTTCTCAGAGGGAGAAATACAAATGGCAAATGCATGCATGAAAAAATGTTTCACAGCATTGGTCATTTGAGAAATGGAAATTAAAACAACAATGGGATACCATCTCACTCCAGAAAGAATGGCTGTCATAAAGAAATCAACCAATAACAAATGTTGGAGGGGCTGTGGGGAAAAAGAAACGCTTCCCCATTGTTGGAGTGTAGACTGGTACAAACCACTGTGGAAATCAGCATGGAGACTCCTCAAAAAACCAGGATTGGAGGTCGCATTCAAACCAGCTATCCTCCTCTTGGGTATTTTACCAAAAGAACTGAAAACATTATACCACAGTCATAATATATGTGCATCCATGTTTATAGCACCACAGTTTGTCAGAGTTAAATCTTGGAAACAAAGTGGGCCACTGTGTCAGGACTCCGGGACCTGAA